TATTCGTAATAAAGAGCATTTACTTTCCATTCACGTATATGGCTGTGTGCCAAAATCTAGTGAGCTGCCTACCTATGGTGTTTAGATAGCCAGCGCGCTTGGTTTTAAGGAGTAATCATATAATAAGTGCTGTTGAGGGGAGGTCAGAGATAGAGCTCGTTGTAAATGTGAGGGATGGACACCTTGGTGGGGTTATGGGGCAGAACTGAACCAGACTGTCATGGCCTTGAAGGCTAAATGAATGAGTTAAATCACAATCAGTCTTTTAGCCAATCACATTTTGGCTTGCTTGAGGTGACATTGTAGATGAGGTACACTGCAATTGCAAAGATAAAACACGCTCGTATGACTGCCGTCTATCTGTCATGTTCACCTACAGGTTCCTCAGAGCTTCTTTGTTATGGCATCATGTAGTTTAGCTTAGTTTTTTTTAACACGGACAGTGAGTTGGCAATATTAGTGTGTGTGTGTGTGTGTGTGTGTGTGTGTGTGTGTGTGTGTGTGTGTGTGTGAGATCGTTTTTTTGGCTTTTAAAGTTGAAGTACAAAACAAAAAGTTTGTCGTTTTTGGACACTTAAAAATTTATGAAATTCAGTCGACCATATAGAAAATATCAAATTATGCTGGAATATTTCTTACAACTTTTCTTTTTGATGTGATTTTTACACCTACTAGTCTCAAGGTGATTTTTAGTGAATGTATAAAGTCAGTATTTGTCAGAGGTGCTAGAAGAGGAAGCAGAGGTGCAGTTCATCTATGGATATTTGACAACCACAAATCCACCTAAATTCTCTTATGCTCACCAATGCTGCATTTATTTGATCAAATCATACAGTACAATCACAAACAATACAATACAATACAAATACAGTAAAAAGAGTAATACTGTGAAAAAAATGGACAAATTAAAATAACTGATTTTAAAATGTCATTTATTCCTGTGTTCAGCAGTCATTACTCCAGTTTTCAGTGTCACATGATCCTTCAGAAAATATTCTAATTTGCTGCTCATGAAACATTCAATATGATTTTAAACCGTATTTTCTGCATAACATTTTTGTGGAAACCATGATACACTACTATTCAAAATTTTGGGTAAGATTTAAAATAAAATAAAACAAAATAATATTTTATTCAGCAAGTATTTAAATTATTTTAAAAAAGTGAAAGACATTAATAATGTTACAAAAGATTTCTATTTCAAATAGATTTCAAATGCTCTTGATTTGAACTTTCTGTTCATTAAAGTGTCCTAAAAAACAGCATTACAGTTTCCACAAAAATGTTAAGCATCCTTTTTTAACATTGATAATAAGTGACACTAAACGAATACATTACATTTTAAAATATATCAGTATAGAAAACCCTTATAAAACCCTTATATATTTAAATTGTTATAATATTTCACAACATTACTGTTTTTACTATATGTTTGCTTAAATCAATGCAGACTTGGTGAGCATAAAAGCCTTTTTTCAAAAACAACAACATCACCAAAAATCATACATTCACTAAAAACCACCTTGAGACTATTAAGTTGAAAGTCACTGTGAAAAGAATAGAAGATTAAACAAAAGTCATACAGGTTTAGAACTACATGATGGTGAGTAAATGATGACAGAATATTAATTCTTAAATAAACTGTGCCATTAATTGTCCAAATACTTTTTTGGGGCTCACTTATGGCGCTTTTCCACTGCGTGGTACGACTCGGCTCGGTACGGCTCAGTACGGTACGGCACGGCTCGGTTCGGCTCGGCTCGGTTTGCGTTTCCACTGCAGTTTAGTATCGCTTTAGAATGGGCGGGATTATTCACATGTCGTTATAGTTGCGCCGCCTCTACTGCCGCGACTCCTAAAAAACTTTTTCATTCCGCGTCGCCCCATCAATCCTCTGCTATCAACGAGAGGAACGTCTGTACTTCCTCAACAGGGGCAACAGCCACTTTTTGGTTGTTAAAAAAAGGTGCGCTCGTTCAAAACAGTTGCGTTCGATCCTTCGCTGGCTGTGCTGATTTAAATCTAGCGGTTCTTTTGTGTTTGTGTCGCAAGTTCAGTGACGCAGGTAGTGACGATTCTCTCCGGCCAATCCGTGATCAGCAGAGTTAACACGTCACGTTTTGATAACGGTACGGTACGCTTGGAACCCCAACCGAGGTGGTACTAAAAAAAGTACCAGGTACCAGGTACTGTACCCAGTGGAAAACCCCCCAAAATTGAACCGTACCGAGCCGTACCGTGCCGTACCATGCAGTGGAAAAGTGCCATTACAGACATTCCAGCATCGATCTGTAAAACCTTAAAAATGATGCATTTCCAGAGTCTAATATCACTTATGGCCTTATGCTAATGTGGCACAGCTTCATAACATTTCAAAAACAGCTGAATTTAAAGTGACATTTCCTCAACGTTAATGCGCTGCAACTCTTTCTTATGAGCCTTTTCAGTTCTGGCAAGGCCATCCAGCTAGTGCTTTTTCCTTTCTTTTGTTTGGCGTGATTGCGTCAGCGTGAAACCTGGCTTCACGGATGTTTAGCGTCTGCCATGGCCGCAGATTGTGGCAGCACAGCACCTCTGTGGTCTCAAAAACACTCCCAGCATGCCTGTCTGCTAATGCTCCTTCATGGAGTGGACGATGCTTTATCATCCCTAACATTCACAACTCGGGAGGACAAGCTAAATGTGTTGTTTCTCCACGCCGATTTGTTGTTCTTGACTGGGACATGCGAGGCTGAGCTGGACACAGTTGTAGTGGGGAAATTAAGATGTTTTTCAAGTCTCTGTAAATGTCATGAGTGCTTGAAGGAGTCTGATTGCTCAACCATACAAATTTGCATCGGGTGTTGTCTCACGGCGGCGCTAAAAATAGTGTTTTACTCTCCGTGCGAGGATGAAGTGTTTAAAAGCATTCTTTGGTCATTTTTTATGCCTCTCAGCTTTGTGGATATAAATATACAGCAAGGTGACTTTTGCTTTTCTGCTGTCTTCACCTGCAAGGTATAATGGATCCCCATTTTGAATGTAAACCATAAGGGAGTGATGCAGCCTCTAATTATTAGCTGTTACTGGCTTGCAGTGAAGTGTATCAGATACTTTGTGCTTGCCTGTGTGTTTGCAGAGCTTCGGGTCTGGGTATTATGCTGTTGAGAGCTGCTGTTGATTGCCAGCTTCCATCAGCTTGTGTTTAGATGGAGAGGTTTGATAAAGTTCTGCCGTGAGCAGCAATTACCAGCCTTCCCCTCTTGGTTGCTGAGAGCTGCAGTCTTGTAGCCGGGGTGTTCCACACACACCCCAAACACACAACGCTGTAAAATCAATACGTCCAAACCGAGAACCCAGCCGCTACATCTTAACATTGCGAGTCTGCTTGACGTCTACATGCTTCTCCAAACGTTGTTGCTTGTTACATTTATTTGCACGTCACTCTTAGTTTCTTTCACGCCCTGCAAATGTATGCACGTGTTATGCAAAAACATCAGTATTCAAAGGATTCCTCATGAGGATTCGCATTATCATGGCAGTCATCTATTCGGCTTCAGCCTCAATTTTACAATTTCATGATACCAGAGCAGAATGAAACAGGATCTGAATTGTAATAGTATTTTCTGGGGGTTTTGTGCTTAAAGAAAGAGTGTCATGATTGCCTCTCTGACTGAATAGCAAGGCAACAGCCAAATGAGAAAAATTGTGTTCAGTGGATGCATTGTAATTACAATCCAGATTGTGATAAGACATGCCAAATGTAATAACCTTATTCAGGTATGGCAGTGATGCTCACTTTTTTAGAGGCCTTGGCTCCGGAAGTGGATTTTTTTAAAATTCATTTTCTGAAGATTTCAAAAGTTCTGCAATAAAAAAGCAATAAACCGAAGCAGTGGCCTTTGAAATGAATCACAGAATGGCAAACATGAATTTTAAACTAATAAGTATATTAAAATTGAAGGTAAAAGGTATGAGACTGTATACTTAAACTTTTTTTAAACCATTTCAAATTATTATGTAGTAAAATAAAAAATGTGCTAGTTATCATCAAGTACACAGTAGAACTCAAATTTATTTATAGTTATATAGTTATTAAATGTAACTATTTAAAAAATCGAATATATATTTATAAATGTATATATACAGTGTGTGTATATATATATATATATATATATATATATATATATATATATTTCAAATTAATTAGTGCTGTAAAATCATTAATCACGATTAATCACATCCAAAATAAAAGTTTTTGTGTACATATATACTGTATATATACAAGCATGTATATATTTCATAAAAATATGTATATATATATATTAAATATATTTATATATAATATTTTTTCTGTAATATATACATGTGTGTGTGTGTGTGTGTGTGTGTGTGTGTGTGTGTGTGTGTGTGTTTATATATATACATAATAAATATAAACAGAACACTCACATATATTATGTAAAAAAAACTTTTATTTTGTATGCGATTAATCACGATTAATCATTTGACAGCACTAAAATGTATCAATTTATATATGCAATAAATCTCAAATATACTGTATTTTATAAGCAAAAAATTATTTTTATTTAATTATTTTATAAAATATAAAAATATATTAAATATAATAATAAAATATACATTCAATATATCAATATCACATTTAATGTCAAATTGTATTGTGTTTTGTGTGTACAGGGACTAATTATTTCATTTGCAATGAGAAGTCTTTGCTGATCATATCTGCCACTATTATTGTTTCCTATGTAACAGCGTCTTTTCTGATTGGTGGATTTCTTTCCAGGATTATGGGTAGTGTAGTCCTTCATTAGGAATCTGGTTGGTTTTTAAAGAAAACAATCTAAAAAGTCTAAATCACACTGACTTTCGTCATCGCTCAACCATTTCAAAGCATCTTTCTCGAAAGGTTTTCATGTTATTCCATATGATGAAAATTAATGGGATTCGTACATCTGTTGCTCTGTATTGTAAGTCTTGTATGTGTTTTCTGTGTGTTACAGCGCAGGGTCAGAACCTGGTGACAAATAATGTCTCGGTGGTCGAGGGCGAGACAGCCATCATCAGCTGCCGGGTGAAAAACAACGACGACTCCGTCATCCAGCTGCTCAACCCCAACCGACAGACCATCTACTTCAGAGACGTTAGACGTAAGCAGTACTGACTTCTCTTTCATGTTCACGGCAGAAAATGTCATAATCCGCCCAAAGCCTGCATTGTTTTTTGCAGAACATTCCGATTTTACGCAACAAAATGGCCCTGCAACCCCATGCAAATTCATAATTCGACACCTCGGCATAACCAAGCGAGTCTCCTATCAAGGCATTGCATTGTTGACAAGGTCCTTTTCAATAATTGAGTGACAGGGTGTAATTGTGTCAGGCTGATTAGAGTCCTCTGAGCGGACCGTTTAGATTCTAGCCTTGAGATTGTTTAGAAGCTCAACGGTGCTCTGCATGCAAAGCATATAATCTTGCCTTCCCTGCTAAATAAGGGCCTTGATGAGCTGCTAAGTGACGGTCTGACCCGTGATCCGAACCTAGTTTAGCTAATGTGTGCGAATAACCTCCTCAAACCCTCCTCTGAAGAGTTCTCCATACAAATTGCTCCTGAGGTAATCTAAGATGCATGTGCAGATCAACGTTTTCAGAGGTATTCCATGACATTTCAAATGCAATTTACATGTGCTGCTGGCCTGTCTCTCCGCGGGATCCCATATCCTGCAGTTTGAGTAAATATTCAAGGACGTTTGAAGTATTTGTAGACGTCTTGTTCCTCTTGACAAGTATATGTTGAAGTAATACTCTAATAACAGCATCGCACTTTGTGAAAACAGACGTTTTATGTTCTCGGTTGCTATTGGGATTAATGCTTGTTCTTTATTTATGCACAACCATATGTCGGTAACGCTTTTTTCCAATTCTACTCGACCTTTCGGCCAAGATTTCATAGCTTCTAGGGAAACTGGGTTATTTTTACACCCCCTTTCTTTAAAGAAACACAGTGATTGAATGTTGGAGTTAGAAACACATTTACGTTGCGTTATAATTCCGCTCGCTCACTCGTCTCAGCGTTCGAACACATTGATGAAAGGTCAGGTTGGGATTTTGTCATGACTTTATCTAATTTAATTAATGTGCTGGTGGTACCTAATTCTCCTAATGGGCATATTTTAGCGGCAGTTACAACCGACGTAAGCTTTCCGATCGGCGGGTTCTGCGAGAGGGAAAGGCAGGATATGGGTTGGGGTTTAGGGGAGGAAGATAGACAGAAAAAGAGGGAGAGTGAGCATTCTCGCCTCAAGCTCTGACATTATTTCTATGGATGTGACTGGAGCCTTCAATCTCTTTAATGCTGTAATGTATTATTCTGTCTAATGTTTACTGGGCTGCCAGCTCTGTTTGTGAAAAGTATGACCACTTGAACAATTCATAGTTTTATCCCTTCAGCACAGATGGCTGGCACTGTGCATTCGAAATGACACAAGAATGTGAATGTGTCTTAGCACATATAGCATGCACCTGTGGATGCCGGCCGATGATATATTGCACTGTGCGCTTCGTTATATATTAGCATTATGATTCGGCGGCGGTTTATTGTTGCCGCTGTGGAGCGATGGCTAAGGTTTTATCACATTACATTCAGACCGCTATTCTCATTTCCTGTCACTTACGCTAGAGCTGCTCTATAAGCCTTTTAAGAGCAACTTAGAATTAAACAGTGACTTTAACAGTGATGGTCGGAGAAACTGTCATTTTCATTTTCTCAAGACTTAATGATATTCGCTACAAATTACATTTCCCCGCTCAAAGATATTTTTGTCACTTTTTTCAGTACACTCAAGTGAACTAAATTATAATGCGATTAATGCCAAGAGGATGACGACTGTTTCAGTGTCGTGTTATAGCGTCTACTGTTCGTATAGCATACTGTTATTCGCCTGTTCTCCTAGGAAATTTCATTCACTTGGGATCTTTGGGTAAAATGTAACCCACATTGCAGGCATTAAAATTTCATGACTTCATTATTAGGGTACAACAGGTCTCACCTAAAGGAAAATGTGTTTTTTTATGATTTTTTCCCCTAAATATTAAAGAACCTTGGGATGCAACTTGTCCCATTTCTCATTTATTTAAATCATATTTGGCACTTTATAATATTTTATATAGTTTATAACCACGTTTGTATTGTTCTGCTATTAGTAAATGGATTGCGTGCATCTAACAGATGCAATACAGCTAGTTCAAGTAAATTTTACAAGTAACAAAGCCCAATTCTGACTGCAGAAGTCAATATGGTTCCACTTTGCACATCTTTTCAAGCTATTTGTTGCAGTACTACAAAGCACTGTAGTGTTTTATTTATTTATTTTTATTTTTATTTATGTATGTTTTTCTTCTTGTTGTTTCCATGTAGTGTTTTAGAAGAAAATAAGAGCCTTTTTACACCAGGAGAACTTTTTTTAAAGGGCCTGAAACATTATGGCATTTAAAACCCACTCACATACACTGATTATAAAAAATATGTATAGTCTAAATATAATGTATCAAATATTTTCAAATTTGATTAATGAATTAAAAAATCTGCATAAAATAAGTTGAAAAGCATAATTGTTTTTTATATATGGATAAAATGGAACACTATTTATTTATTTTTTTAAATAAAACATTTTTAAACTATAAATTTGCTCTATAATGAGCCCCTAAGGGGACATTGTGATGGAAAAAACTATGAGATGGGAAGAAAATTTCATTTAAATGCAAACGCAGTGTTTTTTAGGGAAAACACACAAGTTTTGTGAAACACAAAAAACACTGAAATAGGGATGCACCGATACCACTTTTTCCAGTACTCGCCCGATACCGATACTTTTATTTTTGGTACTTGCCGATACCGAGCACCGATACCAATATTTTATTGCATTTGTACATTTTTTAAATATTGGGTACAGAAAGCAAAAGAGTATGTATAATGTTAGTTGGTTAACTTAATTTATCAAATAGATACAGTCAAACCAAAATGTATTCAGACACCTTCAACATTTCTCACATTATCACAGTTTATTCGCTATAGTTTAGAAAATGGTAATAAAATATAACAAGAACTCAGAATTAAACGGAGTCAGAACAAATTCAGCTTGATAATGTTAGATAACCCCTTAGCCTTAATGACAGCCTGTAGTCTCCTGGGCATGCTGTCACCCAGCTTCATGCAAACCTCAACTTCAAAGTTTTTTCCCAGACTCGGTCTGAATAATTTTTGGTCCCAAATTTGTATCAGTTTTACTGGTAGTCCACTGTATGAAGTGAAATTTTGGGTATAATTGGTCACAGTTTACTTTATTTTGCTATCCTCACTTACATAAATGAACTAGTGTCCTGCACCCACTAGTAAAAAAAATATCAAAAATTATATCTGGTGTCTGAATAATTTTTGGTTTGACTGTATATCCTTTGGTTATTTTATTTTCACACATAATTATGCCCATTAAAATGTATTTGACAAGTTTTTGTTACTTTCACTGTTCATTTTTTGCTCTATGGTACATCATCTGTAATTTAATAGCATTGCAGCGGCTTAGTACTGTAATCACGTGCTTTGCTGTAAAAACACAGGGAACCACTCGTTATAAATCTCCTAACTGATATTTTCAGAAATAGAAGTCGCGTTTTTTCATCTGAAACGTGCTGCAATTTATATTCCAAAGCCACTCATATAATACAGAAACGCTCAAGCAAGCAAAACTCGCACAATGTGTGCATGTATTTGTTCTGATGCAGAATAGTACAGCCTAGAGCATTTCACACAGGCTGCTAGATTCACTTTCGCCAGAAAGTCGTGTATGCCCAAGGTTAAAAATAAATGACGTTTATAGTGAATGCCCCTATAAATGGTCTTATTTTTACGATTTAGTTTTAATCCCAATTATGCTTGTGCTAAGTGAGTGAACATCAAAGATCGCGCGCTCTCTCTCTCTCTCTCCCTACCATTAAGTAACTTGTGCATTGGTTTACTTACTTGTTTTTGACGTATCCGACCGAACTACAAACTTTCCAGTGATTTTTCTGTGAGAAAGATATATTCACTCGACAAGCTCGCACATCTGCACCACCGCGCGCTCAATCCACTCAGCGTGCTTTGTTTATCAGCTTGCGCACATCAGCTATACAGTCAATACTGAAAGTTTAACATTATATTCATTGCATACATATACTTTGTAGACATCCTTAATCTCTTATAACTCCATTCTGCTGTCTGTTGTTCTGTTGTCGGTGTTTCTTTGTCTGAATATGGCGCTTAACACATGCTGTGTGGTATCGGCGTTTGGTATCGGGGTATTTTAACGAGTATGAGTACAAGAGCTCAGTATCGGGCCCGATACCGTGCATTCCTACACTGAAATATAATTTTTCCTTCCCTTCCCTTTCATTTTTTTTTCTGTCACCATGTTCCTTTATGGGCTCTGCAACTTTAATTGTGCTTATTTAGATATTGCTGACAATGTCACAAAAACAATGTGGTATTTACAGTACATTCCTTTCCTAAAACAGAAAAAAAATTGTCTAGAAGACAGCAGAACGTGGCCATACACGCTTATTACAGACAACATGTTCTACCCATTGCATTTCCATCAATACAAGAAGATATATGCTGTTTTGCAAGACGATCCAATTTGTATTTGTTTCATCTAACATGCTACATGTAATTTCCTGTGCCCCTTCTCTTTTCATTCTCCAATCTGTGTGTCAATTTGAGATAGCAGACTAGGACAGCTGAAGAGCATCTCGAGCCAGCTGGGACACAGAACAATCAGATTCACTCACTGTCAACCTCTTACGGACTCTGATGCTTTAGAATTTATAATGCACTCTAATGAGCCCCGTTCATGCGCAGGTTTGCTTTGCAGAGATTTATATCCTTCATATTCTCCCAGACTTCTGCAGCACTTCTACAGACGTACTGTATACTGATGTAGAAAAATTACAGTCTTCCGGCATTACCTTAAATCTGAAGTCATAGATCTGTTTGATGCATAGTGCATAAACTCCCCATATCAATTGCAATTCAGTCCGAGCACTAAGAAAATCAGGCCTTTCATTCCCTGCCCACCGTCTTTCTGCTCAAAACAAGCTGGCCTCATCATTATTCTTAGGAAGGAGACTTACAAATGCTTCCCAGGTTCAGGGTTGGGATTAAGAGGAGGTTCTTAAAATGCACCACCAAAGATCTTAAACTTCTGATGGAGTTGCTCAATTAGACCTTTGACTTCTTGAACTTTGAGCGTGGTTTTTGAGTTTGCTCATTTAAATGAAACTCTCCAGAACTTGAGGATTTAGTATTATATAGTTAGTTCTGATTTTCTAATCTGATTGGCTGAGTGGAGTTCCAAAAGTTATTCTATTCAAACTTGAACTGTACTTAAAAAACAATTTTCACTCAGACATTGCTAGTAAATTTCACAAATAATTACATTGACACAGCAAGTAATGCATCGAATTAAGCATGAAATCATGAAAGTAGAAAGACTGAAATAGTATTTTCTTGTAAAACATACTCTAATAATTTAATAATTATGTAAAACCTCGAAAAATATTTTTTACAGTGTTTGCAACTTTCCAGACCAGAGTATGTGAGCGATACGGAGTTAAAATGTTCGATTTTGTTAGGATTTTTTTTTTTTTTTGGATGGACAAAAATAGGCAAACGAACTAAACAAATTTCTTTCAAAACAGCTCTACTGAAACATTTCTTGATATGAATTTTTCTGTTTATTGACGCCTTCAGTAAACTATTTTAAGGGGCTTTAAGTATTTTTATATAAAACATTATTGTTTTTGTTTTATTTAAATATTTTATTATTATTTTTATTTTTTATTTCATTATACTACACATTTGCTTTATAAGGAAGTCTCTAAGGGGAAATGATAATGAAAATTACATTTAAATGCAAAGTTTCCTAAGAGAAACGCAAAACCTTTGCAAAACACAAAAGCATTGAAATATACAGAGTGAAAGTGAGCAGTTCTACGGAAGTTCTAAGCGGCCATGCATTATTATTTTTTTCCCTTCTTGTTTTCTCGTTATAACGACTTATTTTCTCATTATATCGACATAACGAGAGTTGTTTTCTCGTTATAACGACTTATTTTCTCGTTATATCGACATAACGAGAGTTGTTTTCTCATTATAACGACTTATTTTCTCGTTATATCGACATAACGAGAGTTGTTTTGTCGTTATAACGACTTAATTTTCTCGTTATATTGACATAACGAGAGTTGTTTTCTCGTTATAACGACTTATTTTCTCGTTATATCGACATAACGAGAGTTGTTTTGTCGTTATAACGACTTAATTTTCTCGTTATATTGACATAACGAGAGTTGTTTTCTCGTTATAACGATTTAATTTTCTCGTTATATCGACATAACGAGAGTTGTTTTGTCGTTATAACGACTTAATTTTCTCGTTATATCGACATAACGAGAGTTGTTTTCTCGTTATAACGACTTATTTTCTCGTTATATCGACATAACGAGAGTTGTGTTCTCGTTATAACGACTTCATTTTCTCGTTATATCGACATAACGAGAGTTGTTTTCTCGTTATAACCACTTAATTTTCTTGTGATCTCGACATAAAAAAAGTTGTTCTCTAAGTTACAAAACTGCGCCAACAGGTGGCACTATTGACCTGAATATAACTGATGGGGTGTTGTAGGCTATACTGTATGTCCACTTTACTGTACGCGTTTGGGATAGAATATGAACGACCTCGTGATCGCTATAATTTGTACAGTATTGTTCATTAGGCTACTGACATTTAATTCATTCATAAATGTTAAATGCTTGAATCAATATGACTATTTTGTGTATTAAGTTCTTGCTAGATGCACGAGTTTCACCAACGCGTTCTGTGTAATAAAATAATAACTGCTTATTAAAACTAAGGTTGACGTCACTGTATTCAGTTTGCACCTATATCTTTATTTTTGCTTCTTTGAGGCACATTATTGTTAGTTAATAAGCGGGGGTGTTCTGTTTATCTACAGTAGGACAGGCTTCAACGACGTAGGCTATTTGTAATGTGCAACGCACATGATATCAGTCACAGCATATAATGACTACTAAAAATTACAAATTATATATAATTTTCTTTCAAATAAAAGGAAAATTAAAAGTGAGTTGAATCCAAGCAGCTCTAAAAGATTTTAGAATAGTTCTGCATCTTGAAGGCGCTCCTCCTGTGTTTGCGGTGTTGCTTTGAACATTTAAACATGCTAATTACACAAACAAAATGTAGCGTACTGTCTCTGGAAATATCAACCGTGATTGATCAGCCTTTATTTTTGTATTGTAGACATTATTACTAGGCGAAGCAAAATTTGCTGAAATATCCACGACCTAGGCGAGCGCATGAGCGCATGGTTTATCTGTCCATCAGATTGAGTTCGTTACTATAACAACAGTAGATCAAACAATCATTGTAAAAAAAAAAAAAAAAAAAACTTTTGTCGAGATAACGAGAAAATTAAGTCGTTATAACGAGAAACCAACTCTCGTTATGTCGATATAACGAGAAAATAAGTCGTTATAACGAGAAAACAACTCTCGTTATGTCGATATAACGAGAAAATTAAGTTGTTATAACGAGAAAACAAGAAGGAAAAAAAATAATGCATGGCTGCTTAGAACTTCCGTACAGTTCAGAGTGAAAAAGCTTTACTTTTTGATTTTGTTAGGAGCTTATTTTAGTGGGCGGATAAGAAGACAAACAAACTGGCCAAATTTCATCTTACACATTTCTCAATGTGAACTTCTTGTTTATTGAGCTATTGTTATACTGTATCACATTCACGACTGATTTGTCTACTTCCTACTCATCCACGTCTGTATGCCTCACTCTTTATGTTTTCTCAGCCTTGAAGGACAGTCGGTTTCAGCTGGTTAACTTCTCAGACAACGAGCTGCTGGTGTCGTTGTCCAACGTGTCACTCTCGGACGAGGGACGGTACGTGTGCCAGCTCTACACGGATCCCCCGCAAGAAGCCTACGCAGACATCACTGTGCTGGGTATGACGTCTACCTTCAGAATGCTAAAATCCCGATTATCGATTGACCTCATTGATTCCTTCACTCAATTGAACTTGTCTAATTGAATCTCACCATGACACAATATCAACCAATTACTCTCATGCCATTTCCAATAACACAAGCCAAACAAAAAGGAACAGATGTTGTGCTATTGATATGGGTAGATCGCTTTTGGCAGGCGTATTGACTGAATTCCTCTTAGATGTTGAAAAGGCTACATCGAGCGATTCGGGAGTTAGCTTTGTGCGCCTCTTGCGTTGAATGACACTAACATTAGAGGTTTATTATGCGGCATATTTGGACATCCTGGAGAGCTGAATGGAATTGAGTGCTCTCTAAAGTAGCATGAGTTTTATGAGGATATGCGTTCCGTCACAGCATGGACTCTTAACCACAGGACATGAAAGCATGAGGCAAGACATTAGAAAAAGAGCCCTCAAACGACAGCTCTCGTAAGCGACAGACGCTTTAGTGCCATCAGCAAAGCACCATACGAGTTAATGCTCTATGAAGAAGTGAAACATGAGTAAAACAGCTCGTCAGTTGGTGGAGTGGGTCCGGCACTGTCCAAATACACAATGAGACCATCAAAACATAGAAATGCTTCTGTATGTGCCTCTGAATGATTCAGAGATAGCTGGAACCATTAGGATTGTTGCTAATCTAGGCCTGCTCTTCATCAGCATAATTGAGCTGATGAAGCTGGTCCAAAACCCAAAGTACCCAAACACCCTCTAAAACTAGCGCAGACCAGCTTGACCAAGATTAAGATGGTATTCAATTGGCTGACTGTTTTTGTCCTGACCAGCTGAAAAGTGCCCAAAAAAACCACTAAAACCAGCCAAAAGACCAGATTGACCTATGCTTGTTATCCTGCTGAAGAAAACCTGCTTAAACCAGCTGTAGATGGTTTTCAGCCCTCCACCCCCTTCTCCCATAACAGATGCCAAAAGCTTGGAATATTTAAGAATTAATGTTTTTGATAGTCTCTGATGCTCAACAAGGATACATTTATTTATTTAAAAATACAGTGAAAACAATCATTTTGTGAAATATTATTACATTTTAAAATAACGGTAATGCTGCTCGATGCATATTTTTTTGGAACCTGTGATTCGTTTGTTCTAGATTTTTTTGAATAGATAATGCAAAAACAAAACAAAAAACATTTATTTAAAATAGTTTTTGTAACATTTCTTTCTTACCCCACATTTTTTAATGGAATAGTGGTTTTCACAAAATATTAAGAAGAAAAATGTTTTCAACCTCGATGATAATAGTAAGAAATGGTTTTAAGCATCTAATCAGCAAATTACAATCATTTATGAAAGATCATGTGACATTGAAGACTGGAGTAATGAAGCTGAAAATTTAGCTTTGCATCACGGGAATACATTTTTTTTTTTACTGCATTTCTGATCACATAAATGCCTTGGTGACAATATGAGAGTTATTTAAAAAACATTAAAACAAACGTGTAAATGTAAAAATTTGCATTTTATATATTTATTTACAGAGCTGAGTAGCAATTTATTACATGTAATCTGGGTTACGTAATCAGATTCCAAAAATCAAGTACTCGTAATTAGAGGATATTACATTTTATAATGCTCATAATCAGATTACAGTTACTTTTTATGAATTACATGATTACATATTATTCACACAATGGCAGTAAATCATTGATAATTTACTGATTCCTATGAATTCTTCTTTTAAATGGATTCCCAAACGATTTTGTCAGCCAAAATCACTTTGACATGAAATATTTTCTTGAAATATCTTTGAGGAAGTTAATATTTCAATAATTTAACAACACATTCGCATTTTTACAGTTCGATTCCACTTAATGGTCAAACAAATTAAATATTTCTATTTGTAGTGTTTAATTAATGTTTAGCTTTTTATCAACTCACAAACTCACTGCGGTTCTTACATTAAGCCTAGTTTGGGAAACCCTGGTTTAATGCAATGCGTAATGCATTTTATGATGTTGATTTCAAAAAATTAAATGTATTTTCTTTCTCTTTGCTTTTTTATATCATTACGGTACATTCAATGGTAAGTTTAAATCAAGTTAGATGAAAAGTAGTCTAAAAAGTAGCCAGAATACATTACCTAAAGTGAGTAACCTAGATTACGTTACTAACTTCAGTTTTCATTATGTAATATGTGATCAATAATGGATTACAATTTGTAAGTAAGCAACCCAGCTCTGTTTATATATTTGTGTAGCACTTTTTTACAACACATATGTTCCACAGAAACTCTGCAAAAATAGTACCTTACAAAACCACATTGAGGACTCCACAGGTGACAGTGGCAACCCCCTAACGTGGTTAGGTGGTTTGAGGTAGAAACCTTGCGAGGAACCAAGGAAGTCTTGCTGGTTTAGCTTGTTAAAATGCATGGTGGGGACACTGGCACACCAGCAATCAATGCTGGAGACCAGCATCCAAACCAAAACATAGACTATAGGGTATTTTCAGATAGAATGTTGAGGAAAACAACACCTTTTCCAACTCAGTGTGCTTTATTACTGAATTGAAGTACTCGATAGTCATTGGCAGATCTTAGTGAAATAACAGTTTGTCCTTTAGCGAGCACACAGATAAAAAACATTGATCCAATGCTGAAGAGCTGTCGCACCATCTCTAATCCTGCCGTTGATCTTCTGCCAGTTCCACCAGGCAACCCAATCTTAGAGTCCCGCGAGGAAATCGTGAGCGAGGGGAATGAGACCGAGATAACCTGCACCGCCATGGGCAGCAAGCCTGCTTCCACCATCAAATGGATAAAAGGAGACCAACCACTGCAAGGTCTGACTCAGATCCAAGGAAGATTGTTCAGATAAGTCTGCTGTGATTACTGATGCCTCTGATCTGCACACAACACACCGTGGTCTAGATTCTGACTTGGTAATGACTTTTAATTAAGCCTTCAAAAGGTGTATCCGGTGAATTGACAAGAAGATCACAACACGCAGGTCTCAGAAAGAGGATTTTTGGTTCTTTCAGTCAAGCTTAAATAAGAAGCTTTGAATGAACTCCCAACTGTTTACCTCCCACTCAGCAAATGCTGCCCACATATTAGTTCTCACTGGTTAAGGCAGTGCGGGCTGGCATAAAGGAGTGAATGTACAGGCTGGTTAATGTGCTTATAAACAGCTTTTCTCCATTAGACAGCAGGGTGGGACTGTTGAATAGCATTCAGATAGACTACCTGGGGAAACAGAGGCAAACATGGCAGATGATATGGCGCATTTAAACAGAATCTAAGTTTGATGTGTCAACTGTTTATGGATTACAAACATCACAGCTTCATTAACTGCAGTGAAAGCAGTCAGACAGTGGCCTAAGGCAAGAGATTCCGTCAGCTAAATGGATCAAATACTAGCTAGTACGCAGTAAGGATCATGGAAAACGCACATTAAGGTATTAATGACTGGTTTGTAATTAAAAAGTGTTACTCTGAACCACATGAACTCTGTTGTCATTACACATTGCTTAATACACCATTGATTGTAATGCTTTGGAGGATATTATTATGAAGTGTAACGCAACATTTTGACAATTCTCTCTATTAACAAACCATTAACTATGACCTTTGCTTCAATAAAATCCTAATTTGCTGCTTATTAATAGTTAGTAGGGTAGTTGTTAAGTTTAGATATTGGGTATGGATGTAGAATATGGTCATGCAGAATATGTGTTTTATAAGTACTAATAAACAGCCAATATATTAATAATAGACATGCTAATAAGCAGCTAGATAATAGTGAGAATTGGTCCCTATACTAAAGCATTACCATTTTATATTTAATATTTAAATAACAGCTTATTGTTCCACCCTGGTCTACAAATTTCAGTCATCTTTGTTTCTAAAAATCATATTCATATGCGGTTGCAGCAATATGAACCAGTGTTATTTTAGTATTATTTATATATAATTGCAGTGTTTAGCTTTTCATTTTAGTTTAAGATATAGTCATTGTTGTGAGTTTTTGTAATTTATTTAGCTTTATTTTTTTTTCAGTTTTAGTTTTAATAATTTTAGTACTTAAACTTATTTCAGTTAACTGTCCAAGGCAAAATTTATTTTTTTTGTTTTGTTTTTGGTCACACTTTATTTTAAGTCAGAAGTAAGGTCCAATTCTCACTATTAAAAAACCATTAACTACGACTTTTGCCTCAGTAAACTCCTCTAATTTGCTGCTTATTAATAGTTAGTAAGGTAGTTGTTAAGTTTAGGTATTGAGTAGGATTATGGATGTAGAATATGGTCATGCAGAATATGTGCTTTATATGTACTAATAAACAGCCAATATGTTAATAATAGACATGCTGATAATCAAGTTGAAGGGTTAGTTCACCCAAAAATTCTGTCATTAATTTCTCACCCTCATGTTGTTCCAAACCCGTAAGACCTCCATTCGTCTTCGGAACACAAATTAAGATATTTTTGATGAATTCTGAGAGCTCTCTGACCCTCCCATAGACAGCAATGTAATTACCACGATCAAGGTCCAGAAACGTAGCAAGGAGATCGGTAAAATAATCCGTGCTTCAACCGTAATTTTACGAAGCTACAAGAATACTTTTTGTACACGAAGAAAACTAAAATAACGACTTTATTCAACAATTCGTCTCCTCCGCGTCACCCTGGTGCGATTTTGGAGATTATCCACTGAATGTAAACAGTGTATGCTATTCTGTGTCAGCTGCGTCACGCAGTGGATATGAGGGTGAGTAATTAATGACAGAATTTGAATTTTTGGGTGAACTATCCCTTTAATAGTGAGAATTGGTCCCTAAAGTGTTACAAAGTTTATTTAAATTTTATTATTTAAATAAAAGTATTTCAGTTTCCGAAGACATTTTTTAATAGTTTTAGTTAACTGAACAGACACAAACATTATAATGATCATAATTCTATTTAATAATTGTGTTAATAATGGAGTTATAAAATATTATATAAAATGTCTAAAACAATATAATGTATATTAGTATCATATTATGAACGATAATATATCTTTGGTTGGTCCATTGATTAGTCTGTGTAAGTGAACAGTCATAGATGATGTTTCCACACTTCCAGTGCTGAATTTACCATGATAAAGTACAGTATGATTAAACTTGCGACAAGCAACATTGTCCCAAACCCTATGATGAGGGACACATCATTTCCTATTATGGGGATGGTTTCCATGGTACTTTTTGGCAATTAATCAATTACAAAATTAGTATGATCCTTCATGAAAGGTATTTAACTGAAAGATAATCATAATATCAGGATTTAAATAGTCTTTGGTGTACAGTAGCTGATGTATTTTTTGTAACAGTGTCATAGTATGCGCTGTCAGACGAGAAGGGAGATGAGCTATAGGTCAGATCCAAGCTGTAATTATTTCCCACTTCATTAGGTCCAAGTAAACCGTCATACTCTGTGCTGCAATTAGCTCAATGCCCTTGAGTCTAGAAATTGTCTTAGGATGAGGGCTAACATGATGGGCAGTAACCCTACAGGCAGCTACTGACCTCAGAGCTGCTTCATATGAATTCATCATGGTCACATGTCCTGACCATCCAGCATAAGTACTGCTAATCTTGTGAATTTTACTGTTTACTATTATGATATCACATCACATAGAGGTAATCGTGTTATATAAAATCATTATTTCAGTACTTAAACTTACTTCACGTTTAAAGTTATTTAAACTTATTCAGTTTTTCATTTAATAGTTATTTTTTATTTCATCTTTATTTCTTTATTTAAAAATGTTTTTATTGTTTTAGCTAAACTGCTTTAGCAGCAGTGTTGGGCTCTACAAATAGCTAAGCAATTAGTTGAACTACATTTCTTAGTATCAAGATGGTAGCATCGCTTAATATCAGTATCAAAGCTATATTTTTAAGTAGCAAGGTAGCGCTGTTACATTTTCCTTATCAATAATTGAACAATCAAGTCATGCTTCAGACAGTTTGCTCACACACCGAATCGTTTGAAGCGGTTTCTCATTTATTAAGACAGTAAAAGGACCATTTTAAAACACAGAGGACAAAAAGAGCACTGGATGAAGCAGAATATTTACGTGCAATCAGTTGGAGCCAAACCTGCAAATGCATCCTATCGTTTGCCAGCGATTAACAAGCTCTTTATTAAGTTCAGCACCTGCAGCGTATGAATGCCTCCTCACTAGTGCAGATAAAGACATTTTCCCACCAAAAGAGTTTCGAAACAGGTGCACAAAAACACCAACAGTATTAGAAATTACCTTGACATTTTGAGATATTTCAATTTATAGCACTGTTTCATGTAAATAAGTCTCAACTGAGTTTTATATTGTTTTCTACAACAACTCATATCAAATTACAGCATTCATTTTTTGAATTTTTAGATTTTGAATACTGTTTATAAAAAATATGTAGTATCTTAAAAGTTTGAAACAGCTATGTCATGTAGCTTGTTGTGTAAAGGTGCGGTCACATTTTGGTGAAATTTGTTGACAAGAAAATGTAAATTATCTATTGTCATAGCATAACGTTGTATGAAGCACCGCTCACACAACTCACTTTTAAACCAAGCAGCTTTATGTTAGCAGTGTTGGGGAGTTCAAAATATGAGACACCAATGTTTCAGGAGTTTAGGACACAGAATAGGACACGTTTATTTAATAACTGTTTTATTTCAATTTGGTTTTATGTATCTGCTTTATTTTTTAAGATTAATTGTTTTTTCCAAGGAATTGTTAGATACCAGTGTTTTCTGTCATAGCTATGCAAAGATTTGATTTCAAAAACAGGATCATAGCTATTAAACTATATCTTATTATTTTAAATCTGTATTTAATCTCAGAATGATCTCAAAGTAAAAATAGGTCCTAAAGTCTGATTTTGTGGTGGTTGTGCCAAAAAGTAATCGAATGTTATCCGTTACATTACTTTAATAAAGTAATTGAAATAGTTACACTACATTTTAAATAGGGTAACTTGTAATCTGTAACCTGTTACATTTCCAAAGTCACCTTCCCAACACTGTGTTAGTCAGCATGATGATTTTGTGTGAAAAACTTGAACTCATTGCAAAATCTGCATGAGGAAATATTTCTCCCTCAAGCGAAATTCCAAATTGCATAGATTCCTATTGAAATTACAGTATTTTGGCCATGGAAATTTTGCTGAACAACAGTAAATGTGACCGAACTCAACCCAATCTCAAGGGAAAACAACAATTTTTTTGAGGTGGTGGTTTCACATTGAGTCATACAATGTAAATAGTACAAAAATGTTCTGTATGTTCAGCTCATAAAAAAAAGACCCACCAATTCACCAAAACTTGAATAGTTATGAATTGCCATGAGCTCTTGAGATTCAAATACCTTTTAAACCTTTACAACACCAGCTTGGCCAAGCTTGGAGACCAGTTTAAACTACCTTGGACTAGCAAAGCTAACAGTAGTCTAGCTCATGTCATCAATAAATCAAAAAAAGTGTCAAACCCCCAATAAAAAGCATTTAATTTTCACATGGTGAACAAACTGTCATGCAACCCTGTGTTTTATGTCCTGTTGTGATGTTTGGACGTCACACACATGGCTCAGAATATGCCCTACACACGCTGTATTAAGCATGACTGCTAGGTGTGCACTCAAAAGACCTGTCTCCGACAATAAATGAATGTGAAATTTGTCTGGAGGTGACGGTATCATTCCTCGTGACCCTCCTCCCTCTCTTGGTGACACTGTGTTATTATGAGCAGGCCGGGATGGAGAGAGCTCGCTTGTTATGGCTGACATGTCACTCTTTCGGCCGTTCCCAGGTGAGGCGACTGTTGAGGAGTTATACGACAGGATGTTCACTGTCACCAGCCGGCTCAGGCTCACCGTCTCTAAGGAGGACGATGGAGTGGCCGTCATCTGCATCATTGACCACCCAGCCGTGAAGGACTTCCAGGCCCAGAAATACCTGGAAGTGCAGTGTGAGTCATCTCAAGATGAGGAGAAAACTTTCAGCTGTAAAATAGCTTCGGTTTAATCTTCCCACCTGCATGCAGAGGTCAATTTGACTGACGTTGTAATGAACTAAAGAACCTTTTGTTACACAATTAGACCATTTATGAGGAAATGAACAGGAGTGAGGCCTAAGCAAGAATAGTTCACCCAAAAATGAAATTATTCACCTTAATGTCACACTTGTTTTGTTTGTGGAACACAAAAGGAATGATTTTAAGCATCTTCAAGCAGCAATTTGATTGACGTTGAACCTTTCGTTCCACAGTTAGACCGTTTATCGAGAAATTAACACGAGTGACTTAGAGTCTTTACAATAGCACACTATATTAAAGGTATAGTTCACCCAGAAATGAAAATTCTGTCATTAATTACTCATTCCAAACCTGTAAGACCTATGTTCATCTTCAGAACACAAATTAAGATTTTTTGATGAAATCCGAGAGCTTTCTAACCCTGCATAGACAGCAACGCATCTGCGCAACATTCAAGGCACAGAAGGTAGTGAGGACATTGTTAAAATAGTCTACTGTATGCAGTGTTGGGGAGTAACTAGTTACATGTAACGGAATTACGGAATTTAATTAAATAATACAAGTAATTGTAATCAGTTACAGTTACTGAGAAAAAACGTGTAATTAAATTAAAGTTACTTATGAAAATGTTAAGGATTACAAAGGGGGTTACATCTGCTTTTTTTCACACACACTCCCACATACAGATTTAATTGATTTCTTTCATAAATTGCAGTGACTGCTCTAAAATATGAAACACCAATGTTTCAGGAGTTTAGTACAAGCTTATTCGATAACTCTTTTATTTCCTATATGGGTTTATGTATAGCTATGCTTAATTTTTTTTAAAGATTAACAGTTTTTTCCAAGACATTGTTAGATTCCAGTGTTTATTGTCATAGCTATGTAAAGATTTGATTCCTAAAACAGTATCATAGCTAATAAAATATTTCTTGTTATGATTTTAAATATGTATTTAACCTCAGAATGATCTCAAAGTAAGTCTGATTTTGTGGTGGCTGTGCTTCAAAGGGGACATTGATCTTCCACAAGTTGATATGATTCTTTAGGGCCTTCATGAACGGTCTGCAACATACTTTGGTTAAAATCCCTCAGTGGTCGTGTAAAACAACACCCTTTTACCCTTGCTATGTTCACAGCGACTCATTTTGGGGCATGTCATTTTTCAGTGAGCCGATTCTTTTCAATGAACCATTTCTTTCAGACTGAACAATTTGTTCATGAATCATTTTGACTCAGTGATCCAGTCAGTGTTCACAGCTCACTGGAGCGGATGATTATGTGAATAAGAGGTTAAATATTTCCCAGATATTATGTGGATTCAGAAGATGTGGAATATAGTCCATGAATCATATGGATTGTTTTAATGGTGCTTTTTTAATGGCTATGTGTCAGTGGTCACTATAAATTGGAGAAGATCCATTTTTAGTTGCTCTACAGAGGAAATAGTCACATGGTTTTGGTCGAAAGAAATCAAATGAGTCAATAATGGCGGAAATTCAATTTTGGAGTGAACTATTCCTTTTAACCCGGCCGAGGTCTAGGCATTTGCTATAATTAAAACAGACCCTTTCTTGTTATGCGTAAGCATGAAATGCTGTCCGCCAAATAATGCATTGATTAAGAGCGTTTGCTGCATGCTTTTTTTGTGACATGGGAAGTCCTGGAAAGGTTAACCTACCCTTTTGTAATCTTGGCAGAATATTAATTTATTCAGATAGCTGACTGCTCAGGGTGACCTTTGAGAAGAAAAGGCAGGAGGGATCAGCTCAACTGTAACAGCTTGACATTTTGACTAACATAGATAAAAGAGAAGAAGAAAAAACATTTTACAGTACTGTTAAATTGACTGTTTAAATTCATAGCAGTGTCATCCTTCCTCACACGCTTTACCCAGGCTATAAAAATCACATACTGCCATGTTCGCACTCTTTTAGGCTCACTGGGTTGACTTAATATAGTGCAGCGTGAAGAGTGAAGCCCAGAAGAGCAGCTAAGATCTGCTGCCTTCATTATACAGGTCTTTGTATTAAGCATGAATGCATAATACACATGAACGTAAATGTGAATGCACAAATGATGTCCAAACCTGTTGGGGATGTTTTCTAATCAGACTGAGAGGCAGGTATGTGGCCTTAGAATGATAATTAGATAGATACAATAAGGGTACCGAGCTGAATCAACGTACTGCAGTGCAACTAGAAATGAGTTTGTGTTTGTGTCTTTGTTGTGTCCAATGCACAGATAAACCAGAAGTGCAGATTGTGGTGGAATTCCCTGAGGGTTTGACCAGAGAAGGGGAAAATCTCGAGCTGACATGCAAAGCTAAAGGAAAACCGCAGTGAGTCCAATGCTGGGCCCTCAGGCCACTTTACTCATTTCATGTGAATTTGTTTGCTTGCTTTATCATGCAGATAATAATAGATGATAACAAGAATAGCTCGGATAGACAGACAGGTATGCAAATATGTACATGGTTTGGTGTTGATATTTCATACTTATTTTTTATTTGTTTTGTTGTTTTGATAGACACACACACACACAATAGATAGATAGATAGATAGATAGATAGATAGATAGATAGATAGATAGATAGATAGATAGATAGATAGATAGATAGATAGATAGATAGAATACTAAGATTATAGTATATTTAGATACTGGAAAAGTTAATTCAGTTTATAATGAAATTTAATCCAGTAATAAAAAAGAATAGAAATCAGCCCATATGTGAACTAAAACAAGACTTTGCAGCTGAGCTTTGATAGCATCATGTTCGTTTGTTTGCACAGGTGTTGATTTTACAGCAGTGCTAAAGTATTCCTGAATAACACGCATTATTCTCTCCTCTCTGCCTCTGTCTGAGCATTTTCACACTGAGCACTAAATGATTACTCTGATGTTTTACAGGCCTCATCAAATTAACTGGCTCAAAGTGGATGATGATTTCCCCTCCCACGCCGTGATTACTGGCTCTGATCTCTTCATCGAAAACCTTAACAAGTCCTACAACGGAACGTACCGCTGTGTGGCATCTAACTTAGTGGGAGAAGCCTATGATGATTACATTCTTTATGTATATGGTATGTACTTGAACTTAATCTGCATCTGTAAACAACAATCCATAAGAGCAGAGTTTCCCAGACAGTTAAATCTATAGTCTTGGACAAAATGACACTGTGAATGGATAGTTTTCAATATCAGTCTAAGTCTTGGCTTAATATGTGTCTGGACAACCAGCCCTTGATGTCTACGTGTAATCAGCTGCGTAATGTTGTCGTGACTTAAGGGTTTCAAGTTCCACATGCATTTGCTTTTCAAAGAAGCTTGTTGTTTTGTTCAAGACAGAAGCTTTTAACCCTCTATTGCACAATGTTGCCTCTGGGTTTTCTCCATTTGATGCAAATAAAATGGTTAATAATGAAGGGATGATTTTTTGGTCACACAACATATTTTTCTGGCATAATGCACAATGTAGAGGGTGCACATTTTTGCTTTGGAAAGCTTCATTACAGCATTTTTATAGATAATTTTTTCCATCCTTCAAAAATATGATTCATATTTATTATTGAGTAGGCTTTATTTTAAAACATTTAGAAGCACATAAATTATTTGTATGTTTTGAGGAATTGCTTAAATATGTTTATTGCCCCGAAGCAACTCTGTGCGACAGTGGCATGTATATGAATGTAGTGGATATGGATCCACTATAATGCAGTTATTATTATTTTCGTTATTTAATATCAGCCTTTTTAGCATTACATTTTTTTATGCAATAATATAGTTTAATAGCTTTGTTCTTTACTATTTCCAACATTTTTAGGACTGTGACATCTGTTTAAAAAAAGGAAATAATAAAAGAAAAGTCTCTCAGAAATATTCACAAATATTTAAATGAATAAAAACCTGTCTTTGAATAATTTCTTTTAAGTGTTGCACAGAATACCTAAAAGGAAATTGCCCTCATCCCAAAATTATTATTTTTTTTTTGTGTGTGTGTTTGATTTTACTAATGAAGTCCATTTTATGCAAGACAATTGAATCAGAAATGTCTTTTTCAACATTGTTTTCAATAAGCATGCAATAGAGGGTTAATTGTTTTACTGAATATGCTTCACCTGAGAGTTTTTCATAGTACTAGTCTTATTAACACAGGAAGTGAATTGTGTTCGGTGCATGTTTAATCCTTAACAAGGGCTGACAGCTGGATTTTTCAAACCCCAGGCAATAATTGCTATGACAGTGGCACTTGAAGCCTGGGATTTAACAAAGCTTTGCTTTGCTATAGAATAATTGAAGTGTTGTTATTGTTTAAAGCAGGTTGTGTTCGGGAGCACTAACGGCCCGCCAGCTGCAGCTATTACAGGCTGTCCTGTCGAGCCCAAGACATTAGCCTGAAGAGATGGAAGAGGGTGGCTCATCATTGAGGCGTTTGGCACCGCAGTTATTAGCCTCTGATAATGCTGATATCAGAGGCAGGTGTTTGGGAATGATGTCATCAGCATCCCATCTGCAGACGGTAGAGTTTGTGTGCATCACAGGCCTGGAAGCGGTTCCACTTCCAGCTTAGTTCAATGTCTGTCACCTCTACCTGAGCGAGCACCACCTGCTGATTACTCCACTTCCTCTCATTTCACAGGCTTGAGGAGTTTGGGTCTATTTGCACCGAGTGGGCGTCTCGGAAAAAGAGGAGATTTATTGCCGTCTAGCTTGGTATAAGTGGCGGTTTTTAGTTATAATCTCCCAAGCATTGTGTAATATGTGAGTGAGGACTTTGCAAATTATTTTCAGCCATAAAAAGCCTTATTATAATGGAAATGATATGCATTTGTAGTGTTACCCTGAGAGTTGCTTTTTCTCTTTAGTATGGCTCAAATCGCTCACGCTTCGCAGTAAATAAAATCGTTGTCTTGTGGTGCATTTCTAAATCAATTTACACTGGCAATTGTCGAGCATGCCCTACCTCAGAGGACTAAAACAAGTGGAAAGACCTCTTGTAGCTTGATAATCCTGGGCACACTATACTTCTCCAGCCTGTCAGAGTTACTTTTAATGCTGCTCCTCGGGGGATGGCAGCTTTGCTTTTGCTACAGAGCATTTCCTTTTACTGCCACAGTAAAGCAGTGACTTGTGTTGAGCAAATGCTTACGGCTCCTCTGTCGTTTTGTTGTTTGTTTTTTCATGAGGGCTGAACAGGAAGCTTGGTTGTAGCAGACACTCATTTCCTAAAATCCTAATACTGGGCATGCCAAGACAATGGCGGCAGTGTAACAGTTTCTCCATTTACACCATTACTGCATTCATGGCCTTCACAAAGGGGACTGTTTTGATGTCAGATCAAATGTTTTTGTAGGCTAATGTGAATTTGCAATGGGACAGATACATGTCACAACCTGATAAGCTTGTAGCGGAGATGCTGAGAGTGAAAACCCATCCTGTGTTACCGGAGCCTCCGGCACAGATAGTACTCAGTTAATTTGCTCAAAAAAAGGCTTTATTTGTTTAGGTACTTGGAATTGGAATTGGATGGAAACAACAAATGTAATAATAACAACAACAATAATTATATAGAAAAAAATAGGCAGGGTATTATTTCTGTCCGATAAGAAATGAAGCATATTTTATGGATTAGCTGAAAAGAAAACTTTTTCTCCAATACAAAACTCTACAAAAAACCTGTTTTAAAAGTTACACAAGTATATATATACAGGTTTAGGTACTTGGAATTGGAATTGGATGGAAACAACAAATGTAATAATAATAACAACAATAATTATATAGAAAAAAATAGGCAGGGTATTATTTCTGTCCGATAAGAAATGAAGCATATTTTATGGATTAGCTGAAAAGAAAACCTTTTCTCCAATACAAAACTCTACAAAAAACCTGTTTTAAAAGTTACACAAGTATATATATACAGGGACAGATAGATAGATAGATAGATAGTTTTTTTTTTTTTTTTTTGCATATTTGTCACACTTCCTGTTTTTGTTTTATTTTTTGCATATTTGTGGCATTTAAATGATTCAGATCAAACTAATTTTAATATTACACAAAGATAACCCAAGTGAATACAAAATGCAGTTTTGAAATAATGCTGTCATTTATTAAGGGGAAAAAGCTGTCCAAACCTGCCTGGCCCTACGTGAAAAAGTAATTGCCCCCTAAATCTAATAACTGGTTGTGCCACCCTTTGCAGCGATAACTGGCAATGAGTCTTTCACATCGCTGTGGAGGAATTTTGACTCACTCTTCTTTGCAGAGTCCAGGTCCTGAACAAGTTGTCCAGGTCCAAACCATCACACTACCACCACCATGTTTGACTGTTGGTATGATGTTCTTTTTATGAAATGCTGTTGGTTTTACGCCAGATGTAACGGGACACACACCTTCCAAAAAGTTAAATTTTTTGTCATATCAGTCCACAGAATATTTGCCCAAAATTCTTGGGGATAATCAAGATCTTTTTTGGCAAATTTGAGAGGAGCCTTTAATAATTGTGTTCTTTTTGGTCAGCAGTGGCTTTTGCCTAGGACCTCTCTCATAAATGTGTTTTTACCCAGTCTCTTTCTTATTGTTGAATCATGAACACTGACCTTAATTGAGGCAAGTGAGGCCTGCAGTTCTTTAGATGTTGTTCTGGGTTTTTTTAGGACCTCCTGGATGAGTCGTCGTTGCGCTCTTTTGGTTGGCCGGCCACTCACTGTTCCAAGTTTTCTCCATTTGTGGATAATGGCTCTGACCGTGGTTTGCTGGAGTCCCAAAGCCTTAGAAATGGCTTTATAACCCTTTCCAGACTGATACATGTCAACTCTTTTGTTTCTCATCTGTTCTTGAATTTCTTTAGATCGCAGCATGATGTGTTGCTCTTTAAGCATGCTTCACTTTGTCAGACAGGTTCTATTTAAGTGATTTCTTGATTCAACAGGTCTGGTAGTACTCAGGCCTGAATGTGGCTTGTGAAATTTAACTCAGCTTTCTAAAATAATGTGGTTAATCACAGTTCTTTCATGATTTAACAGGAGGGGCAATTCATTTTTCAAGTAGGGCCAGGTAGGTTTGGACAGCTTTTTTCCCTTAATAAATGAAATCATCATTTAAAAACAGCATTTTGTATTTACTTGCATTATCTTTGTGTAACATTAAAATTTATTTGATGACCTGAATCTTATAAGTGCCACAAATATGAAAAAAAAAAGGAAGGGGACAAAAACCTTTTCACTGCACTGTATATATATATATATATACTAATATTTGAACATTTCATTTAATCCTGTGATGGCAAAGCAAAATTTTCAGCATCATTATGTCACATAATCCTTCAGAAATCATTCTAATATAATAATATATGCTTAATATTTTTTTGGAAACCGTAATACATTTTTTTCCAGGACCCTTTAATGAAAAGAAAGTTCAAAAGAACAGTATTTAGTTGAAATATAAATGTTTTGTAACATTATTCATTTCTTTAATCCATTTTTGATCAATTTAATGCATCCTTGCACAATTAAAGTCATAATTTCTTTTTAAAAATCATACTGACCCCAAACTTTTGCAGAGTCATCTATATAAACTGAACAAAATGAAACAGTACAGTTATCTTAAAGAGCTATTTCTACCTCCTCTGACCTTTTAAAAATGAGTTTCATGGGAGTAACCTAATGCAGCAGGTTGATTTCACATTTAATAGTATTTTTGACATGAATAAAACCAGTTAATTTACCACATCTAGCACTTTTTAGGTTACATGATAAATCAGTTTTTACAGCGTATATGCTTTATATTTGCATTTGTAATGATACCAATTTTGTTTCTATTTTCTCCTGTTCCATTTTATATCCCTTTGTTCCTTTCTCTAGTCCCAATTCAGAAAAAGGAAAATCTAGGGCTGCAAATCTAGTTTAAAAGCTTTGTGATATACAATTAAAGTCAACTCCAGTTCAAGAAAAGGACGGAAGTAATATCTTCTCTTTGGTAAATGTGATGTAACTGTGCTGCTGCAGGGGATGTCTATGCTATGACTTTATAAGTATTTTTCGGGGTGAAGAGATACAAGGTTAAAATCCAACTTGATCCCGGTTCT